TTAGAGTCTTTTGTGTTTGAGGTGTTCTTTAGGAGCTTGAGAAACAATGCCAAGTGAGTCAAGTTCCTGAAGGGACAGTAACGGGCAGAGAAAAACAACTGGAGATAAAGAAATGATTTATGAACATAAGTATTAGAAAAAATTGAATAATAGCTAATGCTTCTAATGCTTCTAATCCCTCTTCCTAGTACATAGATTCACAAATTTTTTTGTTCGACTTGAATATATAATTGAAAACATATATGTTATGCTGTTTTGTGCTATTGAGTCAGAGCAACTCACAGCTGACCTTCCAGGAGCTATTCAAAATCAGATAAGCACCCTGGAAGAACCTGCCTATCTTTCTTCTTGATATTTTGAAGCACATGCCTTTGGATTGGTAGCACAGTTGCTTACCTGCTAGACCACAAGGGTTCTTATGTATATTTTACCCAACAGATAAATTACTCTATTAATCTGGTTTAAAAAAAAACAAAACAAAAGACAAATATTGCATAGGGCCACTGTTGTAAAACGGGATTGACATCAGGGTTGAGGGAAGACAGAGAAGGAGGGGAGGAATGATGAATATTGCATTGAAACAGAAGAGGGAGAGAACTGTTTAAAAGCAATATATGCACGGGTATTGTTGTCATTAGAGAAGTCCAGAGTGAAGGCTGCATACTGGAGTGGAGTTGGGGAGAGAGGAATTGTATAACAATTAAAGAGATTTTCTTTTATTTTTTTTAAGGAGAAGAGTGAATTGGGGGGCAGTGGATGGGCAGGGAGAAAAGTACAACAATGAATGAATGGACACCCTAAATCTCTGTAAATGTTCATTAACATTAATAAAAGAGAAAGAAAAAGGAAAAAAATACTCCCTGCCATCAATTTAGTTCTCACTTTCAAGCATCCTATAGGACAGAATAGAACTGTTTTCTAGGGTTTCCAGGGTTATAAATGTTTACAGAAATATACTGCCTCATTGTCCTCCATGGAGCAGCTGGGAGATATTGTCACTCACCCTTACAATAGCACATCATTTCGTAATACACAAGCCAACCATGTTTCCCCATTCAATTATATGTACATATATTTCCAAGCATATCAGGCCATATTAAGATGACACACCAAGGTTTGGGGTGCATTTTTTGGGGGGGACTTGATTTGTTATAAAGTTCAATATACATTTATTTCACACTATTTTCTGTGTTTTTTACAATCATTCTCATGCACCGTGTTACCTAAAATCCATCACCATTGGACCATCCCTATCATTACCCTGTCTTTTTAACATCTCTTTCAATGCAGTATACATTATTTATCCCCTCATAGTGTCCCCCCAACACCAATGTCAGTTCTGCTTTACAACAGTGGCATTATACAGTATTTGTCCTTTTATGACTGAGATATTTCACTCAGCATAATGTCCTCCAGGGGCTCTTAAAAGAAGTGCTATCAAACGAAGTCTATCTGGGTCTTGAAGCACAAAGAGTCCAAAGGAAAAAAAATACAGTAAAAATGTATCATATTTTTATAGTTTTGTAATTTATGTTTGCTGTCTTTGTTGTGTTTCTGGTCACTGACATATGTTGTTGTTATGTGCCATCAAGTTGCCCATGATTCATAGCAACCTTATACACAGTAGGTGTGAAATTTGCTCTATCTTTAAGAAGTATCACTGACTTTGGCACACCTAATTCTATTGCCCCAGTTACCACTTCAGTCCATTTTACTGGGTTCTTCTTCTTCTTCTCTGTCCCTCTGTCCTTCATGTATGATGTTCTTCCCTATGTACTGGCCTTTACCAGTAAATTTTACCTAATATTTATAGGCTTTAGTATTTTGCTTCTTTAATTTATGGTAATATTTGTAATATATCACATAAAGTATAACTCAGGTTTGACTTAAAGGTAGAGACAACAGGATTTAAATTCTTGAAATATAGATTATGAAATATGCACTATGGATACACTATGTTGTTATTGTTGCTGTTATGTGCCATTGCAACTTATAGCAGCTCTGAACGCTATCCTGGTCTGAGCTAGTCTAATTTCAACACACCAACACCCATTGCGCCATTTACTGTATCAGTCCCTCTCATATGGCATCTTCCTCTCCAATACATCCCATAAAAATTTAAAAAGTTACATTGTAATCCCAATGGTCTGTTGTTCAAAGTCACCAACTGCTACATTAGAGAAGGACGGGAAATCACCTCTTGTGTGATGTATATAAAACTCCTGTTCACTCTGATAACCTTGTAAATAGAAAATCCCAAAGAATAAATTAAATCAATTTTTCTTATCATTTAGCACTAATGTTGATGAATATCTTACATTCTTTTCAATTCATAGTTGTGAGGGGAGGTTGTATTGAAGATTAATTGTAACTTTATTGTATTGTTATGATTATAAGGAAAGCTGTTTGATTTAAAAATATTCTTCCTCCCCTCCCCCAAGTTAAGCCTGATCCACCTTCAGATGTGCATATGGAAATCACAGACAGTGGTAACGTCAAGATTTCTTGGGCCAGCCCAACCTCAGTACCATTTGAACTGAAATATGAAGTGGTATATGTAGAATATACTGCCAGAAAGGAGAAAAAAGTAAGTACATTAGGGTAAGTAAAGTTCAATGTTGGAAGCAGTTAAAGTATTGACAAGAATTTGTAAAGTCCTGTAGAATTTCCCTCAGTATGCCAAGTGTGTCTAATCCTTCTTGGGAAGGGGTTGTATTTATTCAGTACCATGCCCTTGGGTCTGCTTCAAGGATAGAATAAAAAAATGACCACATGAACAGCATTCTTACATTTCCTACAAAGTACTTTAAAAAAAATTAAATGTGTAATTATGGAGCTCTGATGGTTTAGTAGTAAGAAGCTTCCCTATTAATTCAAAGGCAAGTTGTTCAAATTCACCAACTGCTCCTCAGGAGAAAGGTAGGGAGTCTCTGTCATGTGAACTACAGGCTCCGAAAATTCACCAGAGGAGCTGTTAGCAAGCAGGTTCCCACTATATACTGAACAACAACAATTCTCTAACACAGAGAGAATTAGCAAATATGGATAAATAAAGGCTGCTGAGAGGAATCCACTTCCTAAATAGCATGCCTCTGGAAACCCTATAATCTTCAATAAATGCTGATAGATGTAGAGGGTCTTCAAGCCTTTTGTTCATAGTGCAACTATGAGTTGTGCTCAACTCAAAGGCAGTCAACAACAATTCCTCCTGTGAGATTAACTGCCTCTGAAAACCCATCAGAAGGTCAGCTATGGGTTGGTTCTGACTCTATGGTAAATAATAACATTCCTTTGTTTAAGTTTTAGAAGCATGTGTAAAAAATTGAAGTGAAAACCTTCAAAAACAATGGTTTTGACCACTGAGTTGCTTTCTCTTTGATATACTCCTAAAAAATAACAAATTAACACATGTCTGACTTGAAAGTGACTCATAATTGATATTTCAGATGTAATTTTGAGCTTCAGAAAATATTTTCCTCAATATTAACAGGTACATATTTACTTTTTTTAATAGTTAAGAACATGAAATTACAAAAACTGAATAGTGCCATTGTTGTAAAAAGGGACTGACTTAGCTGTTGTGGGGGAGACTGAGAAAGATGGTATAAATTA